TTTTATCGATTTTATCGATTTTTTGAAAATTTGAGCTAGGGGGCTGGAATTTGGCACATGGGTCTCCCAGCTCCCTAGCTCAAACTTTGCAAAAAAATCGATAAAATCGATAAAAGTAATCGATAGTCCCGAAAACCAATATTGTATTCGGAATCCCCATGCTCGATTAACCCCCTGTGCGAACTCCCAGCCCCGTAGCTCAAACTTTGCAAAAAATCGATAAAATCGATAAAAATAATCGATAATTCTGTAAACCAATTTTGTATTCGGAATCCCCATGCTCGATTACCCCCCTGTGCCAACTCCCAGCCCCGTAGCTCAAACTTTGCAAAAAATCGATAAAATCGATAAAAATAATCGATAATCCTGAAAACCAATATTGTATTCGGAATCCCCATGCTCGATTAACCCCCTGTGCGAACTCCCAGCCCCGTAGCTCAAACTTTGCAAAAATCGATAAAATCGATAAAATTAATCGATAATCCTGTAAACCAATATTGTATTCGGAATCCCCATGCTCGATTACCCCCCTGTGCCAACTTCCAGCCCCGTACGTGAACTCAGCAAAAAAATCGATAAAATCGATAAAAGTAATCGATAATCCTGAAAACCAATGTTGTATTCGGAATCCCCATGCTCGATTACCCCCCTGTGCCAACTCCCAGCCCCGTAGCTCAAACTTTGCAAAAAAATCGATAAAATCGATAAAAGTAATCGATAATCCTGAAAACCAATATTGTATTCGGAATCCCCATGCTCGATTACCCCCCTGTGCCAACTCCCAGCCCCGTAGGTGAACTCAGCAAAAAAATCGATAAAAATCGATAAAATCGTCGATCGATGACGAAAAGTAGTATGACACCGCCGGGGCCCGAAGTATATGTGTGCCAAGTTTTATCCGGATTGGTTCAGAAATGGAATTTTCTATTCGGAACATACGTACATACAGACAGACAGACAAACAGGCATTCAGCTTTATATATAAGATAACTGAGATCCGTTTAAGACAGTGCGGTGAAAGGTGTCTTAGTGATTTCTGGAGATTTTCGAGTTTTCAACATTAAAAATGGTGACCATCTTGGCAAATTCCAATGGTGACCATCTTGGCGTAAAAGATGTTCATCTACAAAAGTTATGAATTTTTTTAAGCTAAAAACTCGAAAATCTCCAGAAATCACTAGGACAACCTTCGCCCAGGCACTTTTTTCAACGGACCCCAGGCAAAGTATATATTTTCTGAAAGCGGAGGACAAGGCGGTTCCAATGACCATTTCCATATACTATCTGTTTATCTTCAGAAGTTACGGATTTATCTATCCTTAAAACTCGTAAATATCCAGAAATCACTACCCACACCCTTCACCAGGCATTTTTTTCAAAAGACTCCGTGCAAACTATGTATGCTCGAAAAGCAAAGGACAAGTTGGTTCTAAAAACATTTCCCTTGCCGACGTTGCTGTTCATCTACAAAAATTACGAATTTTTCTCTTAGAAAACTCGCAAATGCTTAATAATTCTCTAACTCTTTCCGAAACAAATCTTCTCGCATGCACATCTTCTATAATAATTTTAAAAACAGGCAGGGTGATGTAAAAGGGAAAAGAAAAAATATGAAAAAAGTACAAGGTGCTGGTCAGAAACATAATTGTGTGCTAATCCAGCAGCACATCGGTTTACATTTCAGAAAAAAAACAACCAGTGATGGCAAATAGTTGAAAATTATAAACTTTGACTAGGAAAAATGATGAGAAAACATCATGGCTCTCTCTCCCCCCCCCCCCCCCGGTCGACATTTTATAATTTCTTTACTAAGTGAAACACTCTTCACCCTCGAGGGGCTGCGACCACTGTGACCCCCTTCACCCTGGAGGAGTCATCCTCACCTTATCGCATCTATGATGTGCAGTGATCATCTTGGGATACCGTCCCTCATAACCTTTCCCAGAAGATCACTGAGCAGCTAAGGAATACGGATCTGGGCCGATAGTAAACCTGTCGAAATGCGCAGCTCAAACTCAGAGTTAACTCAGAGTTGACTCTGAGTTAACACGCACCTTTCAGGGACCATTAACACCTGCATAAGCAAACCAAATAGGGGAAAGGGTGATATGGCAGGATACCCCGCAAGACAAACTCGGAGTTAACTCGGAGTTAACGCGCAGCTTTAAACTCGGAGTTTCGGCCAGAGTACTACCGGCCCTGGTAATAGTGTCCGAAGACCAGCAGAATGATATGCATTACGTGTGGAATCGCACTTCGACAAGGGTCGCAACCTAGTCAGATTACCCTGCATATTTAATGAAGTGAATAAGCAGAAAATGGGTGAGATCGTTTTTACTAAGTCTTTCTATCATTTCTTTGCAACAGCCAAATATTTTTTTGCTAAATTGACGGGCAGACCTAACTGAGATCGGAGTCTATTTTTTCATTGTGAAAACTGACTGTGCTGGAAGTTTGGAACCATTGTCATAAACGTCACTTGTTTTCGTACTTTAACTAGAAGAATCTTGGTTGCTTTTTGGAGTATACTTTATTCGGAGTGGTTTTAGCGTTAAGGTGTTCAAAAACTAGATGTTTGATGCCACTTTGTCTTATACTTTCAATCGCTAACTTCGACTAAACCTTTTGAAATTTCCACAGTGACATGAGGTGCATCACGACAGTGTTTAGGCAAAGTACCAGCTTCTAGAACGCAAAAGATCTGCAAAAAAATCCCGCGCAAAAGTGCACCACGGCAAAAGTGCAAGCCGATGCAAGTCGTCCACCACATAGCGAGGACAGGGGCTTAGACACTGCTTTCATTGACTATGGTTATCAGGTTGTCCCATAAGTTCCGTCCGTTTTGAATTTCGATTGCAATAAGTCATAAACTTCTCATTTCTTAATAGGTTGCAAGGTTTCATTGGAGCAAAGCAAGCTCTACAAGCTGGTCATCATAATTATTCACCAGCTTTGATACATCTTGAGTTTAAACCGAAAACTAAGGAGATTGAAGCGCCCGAAAAATAGAGAAAAATCATGACACCTTTGAAACATCTTATATATAAAGCTGAATGTCCGTTTGTCTCTCTGTCTGTATGTCTGTTTGTCTGTCTGTCTGTACGTATGTTCCGAATAGAAAATTCCATTTCTGAACCGATCGGGGCCAAACTTGGCACACATACACTTCGGACCCCGGCGGGTGTCATAGGCTACTTTTCGTCCCCCTAGCTCAAATTTTGCAAAAAATCGATAAAATCGACATCGATCGATAGCGAAAAGTGGACTGTGACACCCGCCGGGGTCCGAAGTGTATGTGTGTCAAGGGTCCGGATCGGTTAGGAAATGGAATTTTCTATTCGGAACATACGGCGGAGCCGGGTAAGCCAGCTAGTCCTATATAAATTCTAACATGCTGTAAACGCTATCCGTTCAAGGCATTTACGTACGCCGTTGCCGTATTTTTTTTCTTCGGTTAAAAAACAAGAAAACGAAATTTTTATGCTTATGCCAAGTGGTGCTGTGCTGTTCCTACATAGCTGGTTGTATATTACTAGCCTGTAGAAGTTGAAATTCAAATTTTCAGCTCTATACAAACGCTAGTTTTCGAGAAATATAAATTTTGGCGTAAGGTACCCAATTAAGGCAAGCTATATTCGATACTTTTCGAAAACTAAAGCTTGTAGGGAGCTGCAAATTTGTATTTGTACTTCTACAGGCTAGCAGTATACAACTTTCTATGTAGGAACAGCACAGCATCACCTTGGTAAAAGCATAAAAATCTTCGTTTTTTTGATGACTGACCGATAAAAAAATACGGCAACGGCTATACAAATATCTTGAATGGATAGTTTTACGCGAGCTAATTAGAATTACTGCAGGATTTTTTGAAACAAAGTTACGATTTTTCCTCGCTTTTTCGGGCAGTTATAACTATTTAGTTTTTGGCCTGAAACTCGAGATATATCAAAGCTGGTGCAAAAACAAGACAGCCGTCTTGTAAAGAACTGATATGCACATTAAAATCTATTTCACTCTACCTAAACAACGTCATCTTTTCAATGTACAAAACTTGTTTACCCTTAAGATACATTAGGGAATATATATTAGGTCGTTCCGAAAGTTCTTTCCGTTTTTTCAAAATATCATAAAAACAGAAACGAAGAAAGGGAAACGCTTCAGGCAATGTCCGACGCAACTATTCTTCCTCTTTTCAACTGTCATATTCCTTGCGCCGCTCGCTCTTGTGATCAGTAAGATAATGACCGAAATTTCGGACCTATGGTTTTTACCATGTCCACTTTGTCATTTTTTCACTTTCTTCTTTTTTGACATTTGGAAAAGCTTTGATAGCAGTCGGATAGAGTAAACAAAGTGCAATATTATGCAATTTCTCTGCGGGCTTCTGGGCGAGGAGTTAGGAAGGTTTTTGCCAGCAAAAATTCAAATACAATTTTAGTATAAGATCAGTCATAGGCTTTGCCTAACGTTCAAATGAGGCAGCAGCGAGTTGGTACATTTGAATGTAAAATAATTGTTGCACCAAGTGACCCAATTACCAGTTAGACCTCAGACCTTAGGAAGAATGTTACGACTGATTTTATACTAAAATTGCATTTAATTTTTTACTCGCAAAAACCTTGCCCGCAGCAGATGGCGTTCCAAGCTTTCAACTACAGTGTACATCTCATTTTAAAAGGCTACTTCGACCAACATTCCTTCTCTTGTAAGTGTTAAGTGCCGAGAACATCTTGAGCTTGGTTTTACTCACAGTACCCACGAATAAGTAGAAACACTGGATCCCATTCACAAAAAATTTTACACAAGGTAAGTGCATTTTCATGGACTAAGGACTCGGTGAGATTTCTGATGTCTAGCTCAATCTATTATAGATCTTTTCCTCCAAGCAGGTTCTGTGCAAAAGGACATTCCAGCTGTTGCTGACTACAAATCAGGCAGTGTTCGCGTGTCACATTAGGAATGATGTTTACACGTGGCCCTCCATATGAGTAGTCCACAAGGGTTTGAACTTGATTTATTTGGTTTTTATAAATTGTGTCCGCTTTTATCATCTCCCTGGCTCCTCGTTTCATCAGAACCCATGTCCTTGGATTCCAATGCACATGCACTCTCTGTACGCTTGCGGCACTCTGAATTTACATTTTCCATGCAACCATCCCTAAATATCACATAAATACTTTGAGCATTCGCAAGGGCAAGTTGCTTATGACATGCTTATCTGGGAAAGCACAGGAGCTTCTTTCCATACGGGCTTCTGGCTTTTTGCTTAGAAAAAAGTGATAACAGGGAGAGATCAGTGTAAAAAGAATAATGCTCAAAAAGAGAAAAGTTACAAAGATTCAAATCGAGGAAAACATAATTGGACGAGGCTAGTAAATTGTGCTTATTGAAGGTACTATCCTAGAACTGAAACAGGGTGATCTCGCCTGCTGGCAGTGGTTCAGACGGAGTGTTACGAAGGGCTGTATATTTGTAGCATAAAACTGTGTAAGCTAGTACTTTTTGCTTGCGATTAATAAGAATAATATGTGAATGTTATAACAGCAACACATTAGCTCTGTGAAGTTAGGGCCTAATGCCGTCAGGCTTACTTTTTTTTCGGAGTTTCAGAATTATATCTCAAAAAAATCAAAAGCATTCTAGAAACACTTCTTCCGATCAGCTATTTGCCTCGCTAACTATAATAAGTTTTTGGAATCACAGCCATTTTCTAGATCTTCTATGTCACTGTTTTCCTAGATGAAAAATGGCAAAAATGATAATTACTCACGCGAGATTTACATCTTCGGTCACATTCATGCTTGTCACAATTATTCCATCTTCCAAGCCAAGTAATGTTTCCTCCTAATGCGTCATTTGTTATAACAATAGAAAACAGCAGCAGGCTGAACAATAATAGATTCATGTTCGTAGAAGAAATGGTAATCTTCACAGCTGCGAAGTTGTAGAGGTCTGCAATGTCAGGCATACGCTCTTCTTTTTATATATTATAGATAGAATTCATAATTCTCGAATTACCCTTTCGTTTGTTTGCGTATTGAAATGGCATTTTTACGGCCCTGTAATAGGCAGCAATGAATATTTGTTTTTGTAGGATGTCATGCATGCTGGTTTTTGTAACAAAGTGAACTAAAAACGATCGCAATTATACTAATCTTAACACCACAAAAGCTTTTTTGGTCCTCAAACGAGCAGCTCGGCACCATTGTAGCTCGCGAAGTGATTATTCTCTTTCACAATTCCTTTGAGCATGGAGCAGCACAGTAAAGAATCTTTTGGTCGCGAAATTTTATTGGTATGTTTTGAGCTGATCGAATCCAGACGAAAAAAGATGCATCTTGTCCTCGTGTATTCGAACAACTTCTAGAGTTAACCAATTAGAGATAAGTGAGTTCTATGAACTTTTCAAAAGGGAAGCCAAATCCTAGTCACTGCTAGAGGTGTTTCATGCTAGCTTTTTATAAAAGGAGTCATGTTGGCAAGAGAAGGTTAGACTATTGTTTCTAGCACAAAAGACAACTACTCAGACAATTGTGTCGGAAAGTTCGCGGCCTCAAAGCGTGCTACATGAGGCGCCGCGGTCCTTAAAGGCAGCGTCCGGGCAAAATTTCGCCTCTCATGTTTCTGCCATTCTGGGGCCTTTCCGTGGCCCTGATTACAGTTGTGAAGTCCAATTTGTTCAAAGCTCCCAAAAAATCCGGTTCTTGGGGACCCTCTCTTCAAGGAGCGGACGAGTTTCGAATTGCTCGCCCCATCGTCATGCCAGCGGGAGGAGCTGCAACTGCATGGATGCAGTTGCATTGCAGTGTGCAGTGCAACTGCAATGCAACTGCAATGCAACGGCACACCTGCGTAAGCACTCGTCCTCAGGGATGGTTTGTGATACGAAGGGGCAGCTTGTGATACGTATCACAGGCCCGTATCTCCTTTTAGAGAGCACGTCAAAGGATTGGACCAACGCAGATCGGATACTCATGGGCCCCTCTTTACAACTATGTGCTAATCTGGGATGATGGATCTTGCCTGGACGCTGCCTTTAAAATTCCAGCCGCGCACGCCGCGGCCCTTGTAAATTTTGTTGGGAACGCCGCGGCCAAAGTTAAAATTGGAAAGAGCTTATCGGGAGAGTCGCGACCCAATAACCTCACTCGGCGTGCGGCGGGCCTTATCAAAAGCCGCACTTCTTACACGCTGTAGCTCAAGGAGCAACCCGCGTGAGGTACGCCGCGGCGATGGAGCTACCCTAAGTGTTTGTGGGGCTGGTGATCGCTTCTCGGATTGGGTTGTGTGGCATTTGAGTTTATATACTCACGAAATAAACTTCAGCAATCGGTTGAGTGTTATCGACGACAGTAGATGATGTCGACAGATGAACTAACAAGTTGCTCAATTTGTACTCAATCGTTGTCAGAAAGACAGGCAAAATTTTTTTCACTCTCCAGGCCTCATAAACATGCTAATCGGGTCAACTATCGGGCGCTTACAGGATGTGCCGCGGACACTTACCGGGTCCAATATCGGTTTATACCGGGCAGCTCGCGGCATGGATGACTGGTGGCCGAGCAAGCACCCGCGAACTTCCCGGTGCTTTTGTCTGAGTAGTTTATTGTTGTACATTGAAGAATCGACATATCTGTCTCGTCTAAGTAATTTTATGTACTGAGCTTTCGAGACTAACGCGGTAAGTCAGTCTTGCTAGCGCTGGTTATTTTATAAGGTGAAACAAAAAAGCCAAACTTTCAGTCAAAAATATCTTCTAGATTGTACCGTTAAGAATATGGAGCTTAAGATCTAAGGATTCTTTGACTTTTGTCTTATTGTGCCTTCCAATATATTAGGTTGTCCCAAAAGTAAATTCCATTTTTAGATAATTTGAGCTGTTTCTTTTTCCTGATAGACTCAAGGTACCATTCGATAGAGCAGAGCAAGCTCTACAAAAAGACCACCAAGGACTTACCTAAGTCGTAATCCAAGCAAAATTTGGGACCAAACATCATAATTTTTCAGCTACCCTAAAAATCGGATCTCCTTCCAGAAAACTCCTACGGACTTCCAACTTGGTCTTTATATAGTAGACACATAGTAGTACCCAAAAATGTATTTAGCGGATTTCTCTCGGAGCTCAAAATTGAGAAAAAAATGGTTTGAAAATGCCAAAATGCCACTTTTTTCGGGTTTTGTATGTAAAACTTGGAAATTCTGGATTATAAGAGCACATATACGGGGGTAAGGTTTTAAAATTGCCCTCAGTAAGGCTTGTAGTATACAATGGCATATGTGGGAGGGGCTGGGGGCGGAGTTTGCCATTTTTGGCCAATTTTTGTTTCTCGCTTTCTATGCTCGAAAAAAATTCGGCAAATGCATATTTGAGTAATACTGTGTGCCTACTGCATAATGACTAAGTTGGAGGTCCGTAGGGCTTTTCCTTGCGAAAATTTAATTTTCAGGTTTTTTTCGGTTTTGGCTTCAAACTTTACATGAAATGCGACTTAGGCGGACCCTTGGTGGTCTTTTTGTAAAGCTTGATCTGTTCTATCGAATGATGCCCCAAGTCTACCAGTAGAGCAAAAACAGCTTGAGTTATACAAAAAAGGAGTTTACTTTTGGGACAACCTAATAGCACGTCACTTTTACTGCTCGTGGATGTATGCCTCAACTAAGGTTTTGTGACAAACATCAAGCCATGAGGGTCCTACAGTGTTTGAGGCAAAATTTTTTCACAAGAAATTTGATATGTGATTCATAAATTTTTTTAAATGTAAAATGCATGTTCTAAGACTGGCAAAATCACGTAGAGCAAAATGCTCGTTTTGTACTAAGAGCGACTTCAGATCGGACCTTGCTCAACATCCAGTTCGTTTAATAACCTTCAAGTGCGGAGGAAATTTGTGTATAAGTATTTCCTATATAGAGAAGTATCTGCTGCATTAGATGATCTGTATCAAATATGAAATGTGACGCAAGTTTACTTGTTTTTTACTTTTAATACACAAAACTTGCTCTGGTGGCCATCATTTTTAAAGCAAATAAGAAGCGCAGCTTTCACGCAAAAAAAAAAACTAAAAGGGCAAAGTTTCAGATTTCATGGCTTTGACTGCTCAAAATGACTCTGTTCAGAAAGTATAGAACGCAGAAACAGTTTTACTGTAGCAAGCTCAAGTACAGGGGCTTTAATCTGAATGTCACAGTCGGCGCGGCAGGGGTCTTCGCGAGTCGCCTCGCTTGAAGGCAGTGTCCGGGCAAAAACTCAATTTTGAGATTTCGTGCTTACTTGGGCCTATCGCTACGCTGAATCCGAAAATGCACATTGTAAAGCGCGAAAATGGCGAAAAACGGCTCTAACACAAAAGGGAAATCAGCAGGTGGGCGGGGTCCTCCCCACTGCGAATTCACGTTCCCGGCTTCCGGAGCGACCTTTTCGCTTCCGGTTTCAAGTCAATCATTCGCACTTGGCCGGTAGCGATGTTAGAACGGCTAGCGGAATCGAGAAAATCGCTCCGGGAGCTGGGAGCGTGAAATCACAGTGGGGAAAGCCCCGCCCACCCTAATTTCCCTCCTGTGTTAGAGCCCTCTTTCGCCGTTTTCGCGCTTTCCAATATGGATTTTCGGATTCAGCATGGCGAATAGGCCCGTATAAGCACAAAATCTCAAAATCGAGTTTTTGCCCGGACACTGCCTCTAACGACGACGACGCTTTCCCGAACGCAACTTGGGGGACTTGCTAAGCTGGTTGGCCCTTTGCGAAAGAACACGGTAATTGTCACGCCTCAGGCATGCGACAAATACCGTATCTTTTCAGCGGTGCTGGGAATAACGTAAAAGTCAGCGTAATTTGAACAAGGTTAAAGGCTCATAATTTCTCGCGGCAACCCAAGTAGGTTGAAGCGTCTCGTTCTGATTCTGATTTTAGGCCATAACAAGTAAACACTTAAGGCAATCAATAGCTGTTTTATAATCGCTATGTTTGCACACACACTTGATGAAGATAACCCGATGTAGTGATGAGCTAGCGATGATACAGTTGTTTGCACAACTTGGCTTAGATTTAAACTGTATCATAAGAAACGACGCAATACAATCTTGACTGATAACTTTTCTTACTCTACAAATGTTGTTCGATCAAAGATCAAACAATCATTTGCAGAGTAAAACAGTGCATTGAGTTGATTTCTAATTGAAGCACGTTTTTATAATTCAATTTCAAACAACAATAGTCCTTTTTCGAGTCATCCTCTTTGGGCGCAACAAAAAGTACTGTAAACAGGAAATGTTTTTTTAAAGACAATACGTACTTTTTTGAATATAGCTATCATAGGTAACATTATCTAGCCTGAAAATGCCAAAAAATTTTTTATGGAAATCTCTCCAAAAGACATTGACTCACTTCAAAATTGGGATAGCTCGCGCTTTCTCAGACAATTCTTCCGACGGCCCGCGCGCTTTCATGAGCCTACCGTGCGAGCGGCGCTCCTAGATTTGTGGGCGTGGCATCGTTTCCGACGAGCGGCGCGCTATCGAAACCTGCGTGCGAGCGGCTTACCTTGCTTTCGGCGGGCGGCGCGCCATCGTGAGTGACCGTGCGAGCGGCGCCCCATGATGGACGTGTTAGGACCCACAGACACGACGCTATTCCGCGCGTGCTGCATCATTTTGAAATCTTCGTCGTTCCGTGGGTTACCACCTCATCCCGTCGTCGCTCTTTCAAGTCCGTGAGTTCTTTTTGTTTTCTTCTCCATTGCGTCAATCTGCCTATCCTTGATGTCCTTTTCGTTGGTTCTTTACCCCTTTTGGATCTTTTCTTTTCTATCCTCAATACATTTGAAGTATGAACGGTCAGAAGCAAAACACATCTGCGGTATCATAAGTCTATTGAATGCACTAACAGTACACTTATGCTTTTTGCATACGGGTCAATTCATACAAGCAAAAGCATTGAGGGCACACATGCACATCAGATTCATTCATTCACCTTTTAATTCTACATAATTCTGATCTTATTGTTCTACGAAGGTATTGGTTTACATCTTAGTAACTGCGCGCTTTTCTGGCGTTGTTGTCTAAGGAAAGACTATTACTGAAGTGAAAGCACAAACGAGCTAAATGATACATCAATCTGTTTTCCTATTTCTTAGCCCACAACTTCAAGTCGAGGCTAATGCTGCCGATGACGCCACTTTGATAGAACATGATTTCATCCAAAGTTTCGGCTTTGTATCTTTCACCACAGCCCATCTCTGTAGCCCAAATTCTTGCATCCTTAGTTGCAGTCTGATCTCTGGTTTTCTGATCTGTTGAATCTGGTAATGAAGGTTGGTCAACTAATCTACTGTCATTTTTGAACATCCAAGATTTAGCAACATAGATGAACCACTTTGTGGTGACTCCTACCTACTTCTTCTCTTTTGCATGCAAACCACTGAGTGTTCTAACTATCAGCTGAGCAGAAATTTGATGAGTCTCATACGCAAAACTACTTTCTTGACTTTTATGTTTATAAGCACACTCAGATACCTTTTTAGTAGTTCCTACTGACAGCAAAATAGACAAACAGACAATAAAACAATAGCCACGTTAGAGGCGGAAAAGAGTCAAAATAGTTGAAAAATCAAAATGAAAGAGATTCTTTGTCTTTATACACAGAGAAAAAGCGTAGGAGAACACTGACATATTCTTGCCTTGGTCAGAAACACACTTCTTCAGAAACGTCCTACTCTTTCTGACTGACCGGAGTCTGTTCAAGCATCTGACACCTGTTTATTTTCTTCATTCAGTAAAGAAACATCTTATATATAAAGCTGAATGTGTGTCTGTCTGTATGTCTGTATGTATGTGCGGGATAGAAATTTTTATTTCTGAACCGATTTGGACCAAACTTGGCACACATATACTTCGGGGCAGGGAGCGTGTCATAGGCTGCTTTTCGTTATCGACCGATATCAATTTTATTGATTTTTATCGATTTTTTTGCAAAGTTTGAGCTACAGGGCTGGGATTTGGCACAGGGGGGTAATCGAGCATGGGGATTCCGAATACAATATTAGTTTTTAGAATTATTCACTACTTTTATCGATTTTATCGATTTTTTGCAAAGTTTGAGCTACAGGGCTCGAATTTGGCACGGGGGGGGGTGATTGGGCATGGGGATTCCGAATACAATATTAGTTTCCAGACAGTTTTCTCGACAGGGCAGCCCGTCTAATTTTATCGAAAATGCGTCGCCATGAGTTTAACGAAGCGGTCTACTACGTAAGTATGAGCACATTAATTTTGATGGAAACATACAAATTACTTCTGTCTAGGAGTTTATCAGATCCGATATTGTACTACGCGCTAAGGTCACTTACGGCACTTTGAACCGCATGGTAGGATCGGACATCCAGTCCCTTTGGAATATTGCTAATCGGATAACAGTACGGCTGCACATTTTGGGATGTCATATATGCTTTGACTTGCTCAACCTGATTTAGGCCGAGATTTCGAGAGCTGTAACAGCAAAAAGTGTTCGACGAATTGACAGCAGCGAAGGATCGACTCCACCACGTAACTTGTGCCTACCAACACGTGACGCCTCCATATCTGTGGACAACTGTGTCAAGTTTTGGCAGATTCAGGCGAACCCGCCTTTCAAAAAGATTTATCATTCACGTTTTGGATTACAATAAAACGACATTAATCCAGTGAACGCTTTAGCTGATCTTACAATTTTCTGTAAAGATTGGCAAGGGAGTCCGCGGCACAGCTCCTTTCAACAGCTATGTTCCTTGTACCGTTTTTTATTCCAGCGGGTGAGTCATGAGGTACGTAAACACCTCATCTACATAAGGAGTTCTTAGATGACCGAACCTGACGACGTAATCAAAAACTACTCCATCCGCCTAACCAAAACGCGGGACGGGACGAAGAGTTGCTCAAGCTATCAGAAGAAATAGAAGGGATCCTAAGAGGTCAATAAAATTAATCACTTTTAGAGAAACAATCACTCTCAATGGACGTTTCCAGACTTCGGTGAAGACATGATGGGGTTCGGGCACGAGGAATTAGATCAATGGAATAGCCTGGACTTGAATCAGTCTTTGTGAGTGACTAAGGCCCGTATGCACGTACGTCCCCGCTGGGGAGGGGAGGGGAGCTGGATCCCCAGGGGAACGATCCCCTCCGCCGAACCCCGCCATGACAGAGGGGAGGGGAGCGATCCCCTCCCCTGCATCTAAGCGGGGATGGTGTGAATGATTTCAGAGATATTGATCGAGCGAACCCCAGTGCATACGGGGTTCGAATGGGGGAGGGGATCCCTTCCCTTCCCCCACTCGAACCCCGTATGCGCGAATTCAACTCAATAACGCGGGGGAGGGGATCGACATCCCCTGCAACGAAGTAGGGGTTCGATGGTGTAGATCATGCCAGAGACGCGGATATTCTGGTTCTGCTCAGTCATTACCAAGCATTTCGTTCATTTTGATGGAGGATTTTCTTTGAAAGCCGGGTTCTTCTCTCAGCGACCTGTGGCTTGCAATTTGTCTTTCTTTTCTATATTCGCCTCTTGAGAAGAAATCCGAGCAACAATAGCTGCCAATTTCGATTATTTGTAGGAGTTCTTGATCATTCAGGAAATTTGCGCATTTTTCATATAACATAATAGTTTAACTATATAGGCTGAATAAACACACTGTAACTTTCATATTTCATGACATGTTGCCATTATCTTGTTTTTTTAACATAAGCTGCCTCGAAAAAATCTAGAAAGTAGAATATTTGCCTATTTCTGAGTAGAAATCCCCTGGGAAGTGATCCCCTCCCCAGCGTTCCCCTTGTGCATAGCAGGGATGGCTGCTGGGGATCATTCCCCTGGGATAAACGACGATATGCAGCTGATAGTTACAGCGTTTATGGAGAGCTGGCACAATTTGCAGCTTCTGTTATGTGTTAGAATACTGCTTTGAGCGTCCGCGCGGCACCCCCCCCCTTTTCGGCGGCATAACGTCTTCTACCCATTCCCTTGCAGAGACACATCAATTTCTATAGTTCAACATTTTGACGCTGAAATGGAGCAGCATGAACGAAAGTGGGCAGCATCCAAGAAAGCAGGAACATAATGGGAGTAGAAAAAATCATTTTTAGCGCCCCGGGCGCAGTCACTGCATACGCACATTCCGCAACCTTAAATTAATTGAAGTGAGGAGATGAAGATGAGTTGCAGTCAAAATATGAAATAAGAAAGAGTTTTTCATAGAAAATTTGAAAGCAAGGTAATTTCCCCGCTTGATCCCCTCTTGTGCATAAGAGGGTTCACTTCCCCTCCCCACAGGGGATCCCTTGTACGATATTGTCTTTGTGCATACGGGGGTTCGCGCGGGGAGGGGAGGGGATCCCCAGCGGGGATCATTTCAATGGTTAAGCGCACATCCCCTCCCCGCGGGGATGTACGTGCATACGGGCCTAAAACAGGATCCACAAAAAACCAAGAGATTTGCGTTTCAGATTTTACAGAAACCTTGAAGATACCGAAAACGAGAGGATGGAAGCGCTTGCGGAGCTAAGAAAACAACGACAAGATTGGCGACCACAACTATTCAAGTCCCTCCAAATGGCTCTGTAAGTCCAAAGATCCTTTACATATTTCACAGTGAATGAGATTTTGATTTCAGACGAGATATACGGTCCTACAATGAGTCAGGGAAATGGATAGCCAATAAGGTGAGAATTTGTGCACACTTAAAATACTTAAATAATGATTTGACACTTCTTTCAGTGCCAGAAACGTGCCGCACCAGCCGAAGAATGAAGTTACCGAGAAAGGATTACGTAGGAGCAACTCCAACATCTGCCCAAATACCTTACCGAAATCTCTTCCAGAAGAAGTATTATTTCGTCTAGGTTTTTCTTTTTGTGTTTTCTATTCGAGTATTGTTCAGTGTCTTATCTTTAGTGTTCAATCTTTCGTAATATACTGGTACCTTGTTTCAAGTGTTCATTTAAATCTCGGTGTTGTTATGATTCCTCACTGTCATGATTCTAACAGGATTCCGGTTTTTTTCCTCAAACAGGTCATTCTTACCGGTACCGAACAGTGCTTTCTCAATATCAGCATAGCTGATATGCTTAACGTGCTTTCGAAAGGATGCTAAGCGTAGAAGATATTGATGATATTCCATAATAGTTGTTGTCTTTTGAGTTCTTCTGCTTTTGATCATGTGTTATGTCGTTTTTCTAATTGTGTCGACAATAAAAATCCTATCATGATATTTGTATACATGTTTGGCAATAAATCTGACACTGTGAGGTCGTATTTCAGTGAAAAAATATGAATTTGATCAACGGAGTGCTATGTGTATCATATTAGCGCCGTACAACGCTTTCGAAGGAGCGGGCGAGCGGCGCGCCTTCAGTGAGCGAGCCGCGTACCTTCATTCTACGGGTGGCGGGAGGCATGAGCGCTCGCGCGGGCCGTCAAAAAAAGTGTCTGAGTTGCTTATCGTATAACAGCATCGTCTTTTGAGCAGTGGTGCCAAGTTTGGACTTTACGGAGTTGTTCGAGAGAAATATTGTGGAAAAATCGAAAGTATTATTTCTGGCACCTGTTCAAAAACCATTATTTTGAAAATATTCAAATTTCTCGCCTAAAGAAAATATGCCACCATTTTTCTACCAGCGATGCACTGAATCTATTTTTGCTGTATAGTGCAAAAGTTCAACAACTGCTGTTTGCTTGAGATTTTTGTCCGCCACAGTATGGCCTTTACAACCAACCGAGCATGCGTAAAATATCTCGTCTCAGAATTTTTCAAAATTTTCTTTGGAACTAGCATTCTGTAGCGCAAAACTTTCCAACGTTACATATTCTTTCAAATTAGTTCGGCTATTCTTTATCGCTTTAAAGAGAAAAGGTGAAAGGGAAGAATTTTAAGATTTAGTCTTATTTGAAGGCATCAAAGTCGAGAGTAAACAAAGATTTAGAGCTAAAGGCATTTGTAAGAAATTAAAGAAACACTTTTTCAGATATTGTACAAAGTCGAAGAATCTGGTTTCATTTTGAGAACGATGTTGAAAGTTGAAATGTAGAAAAGTGCATTACTTATGAATCACTTTAACATATCTTGATTGGTTTGCTTCAGCTGAATGACCAAGATTGGTACAGCAATCTTACGGGTCATTAAGAGAAGTCAACACTTGAAGAAAATTGAGAGACACCTACTTCGTCTGACACTACGTTCTAAACAATTTTGCTCGGATACGATATTGTCAAAGCGTCTGTAAAAAAACGGTTTGTTAACGGTTCCTGCCAGATTGCCTTCGGAAGAGTATCGTGGTGAGTCAAACATCTGTGATCATATTCGATTTAAGACTAAGTCTGGATTGCAGGAAAAGTTTAATAGTTTAGTTGAGCAAGAACAAAATTATAGTCAGGAGCCGGGCAATGCAAGCAAATGCGGCTACGATGGCCGAAACGGTGCTGTTATTGCTCTCACCGATGATGTGTCTGATCTCGAGTCTCAGTAATTGACGATGCATTCATTTCCGACAATGCGCTCTTACTACTGGACCTCGGTCCTACTTTCGCATTTCAAATAATCAGTAGGATCTGTATCGCGTGGGATCGTGGGGAGTCTGATGTTCAGGAAAAGCTACGTCAAGAAAGATCGAGCGCGAGCGCACAAGAGCCAATCATACTGCTACCGAAAACGATAAGCTTTCCATACCTTTTTCACGATTAGTTTGTAAACCACCCAGGAACCTAGTAATGTAGCGGAAACTAAGCCAGATATTTGCGACTGCGTTGTTTTCGATAATCGACAAATCTGGAAAAAAACCAAAAAGTAATCTAACGTTTTCGCAACGCTGCGGCCTGCGTGAAATTCACGACCTTGCGCTGTTGGGGAGATCAGGGTGTTGGCCAGGGGGAGAATGTCTCGCGTGGTTTATCATCTAATCTGGACATGACTTTCACCATACAATACCTGCAGGACACTACCGTATACGAACCCATAACGGTAAAGAAGTTCAGGAAGCAACATCGCCGCTTGAATAGAGTCTGGTCAAAGGCGGCTAAAGCAGAAAGCATTGTTAAAACCATGATTATGGTTTAAGGATTGATCTTCTGCTTCCGGTCCTTCACACTCTTATCAAAGCACATGAAGTGCCTTTTGATAGATTTAAGTCTAATGATCTCTTGGATTTCAAAGTAGGGCTTACTAGCAGTACTGGATGTCCGACTGATAGAATTTCGTGGTTTCTCAATACCATCCTTTCTCAGCTGCTGGGATTATTTCTAGCACACCTTGCCAACACTACCATGTTCCTCTCGTCTTCGTCATCTCTTCGCAGCATGAAATTAAGCCAAGGTTGTACCGTAAGATCTTCTGATGTAAGACGCTTTATACGAAGGTCTGTGAGCAGTCATCGGTCGACTTGTGTGGATATAGCATCAGAAGAATTTTAACCCTGGTTAGATTGTCTCGACTGCTTCATCTTTCGCTGATGTGACTGCTACTACAGTGCTGGACGAAATTATGAGTCCACTCCAAAAAATGCCATAACTCACTCTGTTGTCAATGAAATGTTCCGGAATTTGGTACAGGTGTTTGTTTATCAACCTACTATCAGGCTCCCGCCAGAGTGCTGAAGCTATGCCAGCGCTACGCCAGCGCCGAGCCAGCGTTTCGAT